ATGCTGCCATCTCACTCATGGAAGTTAAATGTATTAAATTACTGGTCGTTTATCTTCACCACGATATAAAAGGCCTGGGCAATTTAACCATATAATCAGACGGTTAAACAAAAATAAACTAAAGAAAAATAATAAAACTTAAAATATAGTCAAAATAAAATGCAATATAAGATCAATTGATAACAGTATGGTTAAAACAAAATAATAATAACATTCAAATTGAGCATGTTAATGTGATTTAGCCTTCTTATGTTGCATCATTGAATCATACGTTTTAAAACTTTTATAACACGTCACACACTGTGACACGTCATACAGTGACTGTGTATTCAAATAATAAGGCTTAGGCTTAGCCGACACAGGCTTTGTTTGCAACGGTTTTGGCACAGGTTGGCTGTCATACCTGTCGAGGGCTGACCACTGGTACGGGTGTTTGGCCCGATTGTGATCGTTAAATGCATTCACTGACTCAAAATCAATTTTGCAAGCGATGCACCTTGCTGCAATCTCGATCGGCTCAGGCGAGATGTCGGTCGCGTAGTTGTTGGCCGTCCAGCCGGCGAACTGATCGGTCGAGTGGACGGCACGCATGTGTTGATACATAGGTATTCGGTCGGCAAATATTTGGCCGCAACCACTGACAGGACAGCCGTACGACCCGTCGGCCACCCGACTAGTAGTAGTGTCGCGCGCTGTAGGCTCGCCGCCGGTGCCGCCACACGAGTGCTCACTCGCATCGCTTGAGTCCAGTATTATCTCAACTTCAGGGCTGACCGGCTCTAGCGGTTCGGGCGTTGAGGCCACTGATGACCGGTCAGAGTAACCGTCGGGTGGAGTCATAGGACTCGGCGGGTGAACAATACGCATGTGATCGTTAAATAAAGCCACCGTGATGAAACTGGTGTCGCACGTGAGACACCTTGGTGCGATCATTATGGGCTCGGGCGATTCCGAGCCGTCGCCGGCCGCAGCCAACCGGTGCTCATATAAGGCCCGTTCGGTGGCGAATGTTTGACCGCATTTACACGGTTTAGGACCGGCCGGCGGTCGACCGCACACGGCGTCCGTCCACTCCGGGAACCGTTGGCTGGAGTGGACGGCACGCATGTGTTGATACATAAGCGGTCGGTCGGCGAACCGTCGCCGGCAACCGGTCTCCAGACACCCGTACGTAGTGTTAGTGTTGGCGGCAGAGCTGTGTTGGCCAGACGTCGAGTCCAGTATTATCTCTGTTTTAACGCCGCGTGTTGTGAGCGAAGTACTGTTTGTGAATAGTTTTGTGAATACAGTTATTAATGTAAATAGTAATGAAGTTATGGGCAGTACTTATGGACAGTTGACGGCTCCAGTCGACGGGCGGTAGTCGTTATCATAGGCTGGATATCAACGGGCGATCGGTTACGTGCGGGCCGTTTGGGCGCCGGAACTCTACCAATGAGTTCGATATCAGAGTCCGAATCACTTGAGTGTTGGAGAAATAGTATTGATTAATGTGTTTCAATACAGATATCGTTATCACATACTTATGGCGTTTATTGTTTAGCGATTGGCTGTCGGGACTGGAAGTGATTGTTGTGATGATTGTCGCCAGTGATGGGTCAGTGGTAGTGATTGTTTGCATCTGTTGACTGTCATCGGGTGCTCTACTCCAGGACTGGTCTCCGGCATCGGATGATGTGATGAGACTTAATAAATGGGTAATAATTAATGAATGTTAAAACACAGACACAACACATACTTATTGTACTTAATGTCCAGCCATTGACTGTCGGCACTGGAAGTAGTGGTTGTGGTTATTGTCGGGACTGTAGGACTAGTAGTAGTAGTAGTGATGACTGGTATCTGTTGTCTGTCATCGAGTGCTGCACTCAATGACTGGTGTCTGACATGAGATGATCTGCCGATCGGTTCCCCGGACTGTGTGTTGTCTTCGACGGCATGTCTTCGCCTCATATGTGAATCCAATCGGCTTTGAGTGCAGAAAGTTTTGCCACAGTTTTCGTAATC